AAGGAAACTGTGCAGAGCCCTCCTGTTCAGGCAAATTGCTAGTGGAGATTCTGGAGCTGCTAAGTCTGAACTTCTCACAAGCACTGCTGCTCAAAATGGTGGGAGTACAGTAAGTGTAAAATTACTGAATGACTTAATTACTTACTGATCATTGCTAGCAAACAATTACTTTAACACTCTTCATTTCACCTTATGTGATTGATTTCTTTTTCTCAAAAAAAACAAGATTCTTTTAGAATTTACTGAATGAAGCAGCTGTTCAGTGCAGAGAAATGTGATTCTCAGTGAAATAAAGAGTGCTAACACAAAGCCTTGCAAACACTGACTCACCCCACATACTTTTAGTTAAGCTGGCTAACATCAGTGTGAGCATCGAAGACTACAATGCTGATGGGCTTCCACTGGTACAAGACCAGCGTCCCTTCCCACAGGGTGCCACTTTCTTAACTGAAGCTGAAAGAATTGTGCCTGCTGCCCCCAAAGAATTAGGCAATTACCAAAATGATTCTGTTTCTCTTAAGAAGGGAACACACACTGATTATTTAACCAGAGATCATACAAGGCTTAAACTAAGGTTTGGAGAGCTCTTTTTTATCTTTTCTTCAAACGTAATTCATAAAAGATGATGCCCTTAATTTAATTATCTCACTTCTTTCAGAAGATTATTCAACTGCTATTCAGAATTAGCGCAATAGATAATTTTGGTTTGTTTTCAAAATGTATTTTCAGCATCACTTCTGCTTCTTCACAGCCCATTCCCTTTCTGCTTATGTGGGGCTTTTAAGCCTACCATAGCAGTAAGGATCAGGAAACCAGGAAAATTTTGAAAAAATATAAAAAGACAATGGGAAAACGTAGAGTGGCAAGAAAAATATTGCAAGCTTTTTTTTCCTTAAACACGATTTGGATTTACAGGCATTCAACTGAGCATTCATCTTGTGGTAACAGCAGAGCAGCATGATGGTGAAGCATGATAACATTCTACAGTAATATAGTAGAAAATAAATTTACTCAATTTTATAGTCAAATCTATGGAAAATATAAATAGAAACAAAGACAGCAGAAAAAAAAAAAACACCTTAGCACAATTTAGAAATACAGCGAAGTTATTTTGTTGAAATATTCAGTTCATGTACATGACATAATTGGTTCTTATTGAACATACATAAACAGTAGTTATATAACAACTATGCCTGACTCTTCTGTGTATCAAAACATGTTCTATTATAATAAACTTTGCAAAACCTTTTCCCCAAATAAAAGTTGGATGAGAAAGTAACAAATTATTCACACAATCAGCCAGTGGAAAAAAAAAAAAATCTATAATAATGCTTGTGGAAACAATTCCTGTTGTAGATCTATAATTCAGCAGTGTCCACTTTTAAGCAGCTGAAATTTCAACCATGATCATGCTGTAACAAGTTGCATACAGAGACAATGATCTGCTAAACATGGGGAAGTTCTGACTGGGAAGATTGTATTTTATTAAGGTCTTTTGGTAAACAACTACGTTCCTTCCTCCTACATGTTTTTCAATATATGAATTTTGAAAATTAAAGCTTACATTGAATTTTAGACATCCTGCAGGTGTAGAATTCAACATGATAGTCATAGTCACCATCTGTTAAGATGCTATTGTACTGCATTCCCCAGAATACCATACTCTTCCAAAATATCGTGACTTTTTTTTTCAGGTGCTTGTCATACTAAACCTTTACCTGTAACTCTGGAAGGGACAATAATTCTTCCCAAACTTGCTCTATGTTCTGCATATTTTCTGCATCAGTAAGTGAAACTAGAACAGGTGATTCAGGTTGCTGACTTTGATCAGAGGAAATGAAGACTGAGTTGCTATTGATCTGAGCAGGAACCAGTGACTGAAATGCAGCTGAAGAACCCTGAGTGTTTAAAAAAAAATAAATAAAAAACAAACAGAGCAACAATTTAAAAAGCTACATAAAAAATAACAGGAAACAAATTTGAATTTTACAAAGCAAAAATTAGGTTTCTTGGTGTTCTACCACTTCTGCAGAACAGAAAGATATTTCTTAACAGAAACACTTTTTGTAAACAATGGGATAGTGTGAAAATATTCCTATGAAAGGTGGCTTTATATTAAGGAAAGAAACAGGAAAGAAAAAAAAAAAAGTAGAAGCTGGCTGGTAAGTGGCTTATCCTAACACATCAAATAGCCTGGGTCAGCACATGGAAATAAAGCAGCTTGAACACATGAACTCCAGAGAGCTGTGCTAAGCTCACCCTGACAAGCTGACCAAGTCCACTGCCATTATTTGCAGTAACTGGTGGCTGCCATCAGCTGGTGTCACACACTGAATCCTGGCTGCAGGGTTCAGTCAGCAGAAGGAACACAAGAGTACCACCCCACTCCCTCAGGACACAGCTCCAGTTCCAGCCTACTACACTGCTTTACTCCAGCTAGAGTCAGCTCGAGGACAAAACTCGAGTCATATCACAAACTAATAGTATGCTGAAGACAAATCTTAGTAAGAGAAGACACGAGGCTGATCACCCCCAGAAGACCACCCATGAAAATGCAGTTTTGAGCATTTTTACCTCATTGTCATCTACAAATGGGAAGGCTTCTGCCAAGAGCTGCATGCAGTCATCAAAGGACAAGGCCTCGGCTTCTGGTTTTGAAGTCTGTGTGGTCTTAAACAAGAAAGTTATGAACAAAAGTTACTGCATCTTTGAATAACTGAAGAATCTTCCATTACACCAATGAATGCAAATTCATTTGAGGTAACCACTAAAATTATGTCTTCCTGGGAGTGGAAAAAAGGTTTAAACACCCTCAAAAATGCATATTAGAGTTTACCTGTGAAAAAGCGAGTGGTGGTTCAGTATTTTCTGACTGAACGCGCTGAGCTGGCTGAACAGGAACAAATTCACCAGTCTCCTCGTCTAACTCCAGCTGAGCCAGCAGAGCTTTCTCCTGCTCTTTTTGGAGCTGCTCTTGTCTCTCCTTTTCAAGTTTCTTCTGTTTCTCAAGTTCATACTCTTTCTGTCGTTGACTAAAATCAAAAACTTCACGCCTTGCCCCAAGGTCTATATCTTGCCTCCAAAGGATGTCAATCAAGTTCATGTCCTGTAACAGAAATGCTTTTATTAAGCAAGTCTCCTGCCCTGCAAAACTGGGTTAGATCAATAGCAAAGCTTTTATTTTATTAAACAAGTAGACTCATGTAACTGAGGCTTATTCTCTTAATCCTACAAAATTATCTGAATAAAATATAGCTCTATATGTTCTGAAGTGTATGAACTAATGGTTTGGTTGCTGTGTCCACACAGGCTCACAGAAACTAAACAATTTTTTACAATTGGTAGGGTAATACATGAACTGTCCAGAGGATAAATATATTCTTCTTTCCCAAGCAAGCTTGTAGAAAACATGAAGCTATAGAATGAATCATGTCACATTAAGAAAGTAATTCTTTAGGAGAACAGAAATGGAAAAGTTACCCCATGTAAATTTTTTTCAGATGATCATGAAACTGTAGAAGCTTACTAAAAACACGACAAGGGCTGTCTGAAGTAACTAAAATAGCCATACTGCAAACATGTATTTGAAATTATTTATGTTATGTTCCATCCTGGTATTAAGTATTAAAGATCAGTAGAACAGGGCTTCAGAGTCAGAGGACAACTTGGTTTTAAAGTCACCAAGTAACATAACATCACTGTAGCACTAAACACAATTATTAAGACTGTTACTATAATAATTGTAATTTAAAGCTTAGTCTGAGTTGATATTCTATGTGCAGTTGGTTTGGAGCAGCTTAGTAAAAAATAGGGGTAAATAGGTCTCAAATATTGTTAATCAGACCCCTGGCTTAACAGAGTCATTATCAGACAGCTACCAACGACCTAAATTTCTTGGAAATTAGCTACCCTTTTGAGCCTGCAGTGTTTCAGAAGACAAATTAAATTCTGCTATTTAGAGAAAACCAACTGGCTAATATTATTTTATTTGGCTACAATTTCTTTTAATTTATCGCACAAGGAGCATTTTGGCAGGGGAAGTGGGTTAGTGGGTTGTTTAGGTTTTTACTGTTCAAGTAGTCAATATTTTTAAGGGGTGAAGTCTGGACTAGTTTATTCTGTGTAGAAAATCTAACACTCAAAAATAATCAGTTTGGATGTTAGCTGATACAGAATTTGAATACTTAGTAGCCAGTTGTCAGATGGGTAAATGCCAACAATTTCTGCCTGGGAGTTTTGATTTTATCGCATGTTTAATTATTCTTAAAATTATCCTTTAGCAGCAGCACACAAAAATAATGTTCCATGTTGGGCATTCTCATCAGGCTAGCACATTACAAATAATATACCAGATACTACATTTCATTTAAACAGAACTTTTAACTGGTTCAGTTAGCAGTTCTATACCCACGATACATTTATTTTGTCATCATATCAAATTAAAACATTCCCTTATCTCTATAGACTACTTTCAAATAGAAAAGTAACTGGAATGAAGTCATGTTGCCTTTTAAAGCAATCACTTCTCTAATGGGAAAAAAAAAGCAGCTCTGGGGCAAGTCCACACTTGGAACAAACCAATTCAGTATTCTCATTTCTTTGTTAATAATTCCATACCACTAGCACTCATATTTATACATGGCATGAAGTGCTTCTACCAGTTACTAAAAAAATTACTTTCTCTAGAATCAGGTACTTACATAAAATATCTGTGTGCAATACAATTCAGGCACTCTCAAATCCAAGACATGTTTAATATACTTTGCTGGGAGAGACCAAACTCAGCTTTAACAGCCAGCAATGAAGAACCTGAAATAATTTCAGTGGCTGCCCAAGACAATGTTTGGTCTCTCCAGATTAGCAGGGTAAAACAAACTAATTAAGTTCTGCAGTAATTTGAGATATTGCAATGTAGTGTAGCTTCATTAAGGGCCAGTAGTTTACCAGCTGCTCACTGTCTCCTTCTGCAGCAGAGTCAAAACTGTTTCCTAGTCTCAGAGCATTTGCAATATGTTCTGGATACTGCAGGATCTGAATTTTAGGGCTCACTTCTGAATTATTCATTTACAAGGCACCATTAAAAATACGACTCAAAGGATGTGTGTGTGTGTGTGTGTGTGTGTGTGTGTAATGCACAAGGCTGTAAATTGAGCTGTTTTCCTTCTTGAGTTGCAACAGACTACAGCACAAAAATAGCAGAACTGCGTGCTCAGTTTAAATCACAAAAAAATAAAATTATTAAAAAAAAAAAAGATGTACAGAAGGCACAACATGCATTCCTTAAGAAAAAACACATAGCCTTAGATAGCCTTAGTGCAAAACCTTAAGACACAGCTATTAAATCTTTCAGCCATGCTACTGGTTATATTCATTATCTAAATAAGTAGCTTTGGATGCTGCCTCATTTGTGTGATGAGAAATCTCCAAAGACACCAGCTGGCAGAAAAAAATTCTGTGGCTGTACACCACCACCTCTGTGTGTGTACAGCAATCAATTCAGCAAATACAATAGTTTTTCTGAATGAATATGCTTGCATGGTTTTCCAGATCTTGGACTACTGTTTGAGAAATATGACAGCATTGTTTGGCTCCTGTCACCATTTTTCAAGGGACTGTCTGTAGCCCAGTATCTTATCTCTGGCAAAGGGCTGAGTTTTGCTAAATGGTGCTGTGCTCTACTTTGGAGAAAGATGCTTGACTTTTTAAGTTTATTTAATTGTTGTGTTTGTCACACTTAAAACCAAAAGGGTGAGGGTTTTTTTCATTATCACTATATCACTGGAAAAGGGGTCCCCTATTTTCAATTTGAAAAGTTCTACATAAATACAACAATATTAGCCTTAACTTTGAACAACAATTCAAGCAAATACTCTTCACCGGAATGGGCTTGCATAGAGGAAGTGTTCTTCTGTTCAATATGCTTACATGTAATATCATCAAACAGCACACTGACTTAAATATTAACCTGTCATTTAGCACCTATCTATAATTTCAGCCAATGCTTTTAGTAACACTACCTTTTCAAGAAAAAAAAAAATATAATTCTGGGCATTAGTCCAAAGCCTCAGGTCAAAGCTAATGGAGTCAGCGCTGACCAGTGATTCACTAAGGAATGAATCACAACCCCCAGCATGAGGAGATGGCAAAGAATGGGGGGGGGGAGGGAAATGTGTTCCTTCATCCTCTCCTTAATCTTCGTCTGTAAATTATTTCTCTGTTGAACACATACACAGAGGCAACCACAGACACAGGCAGGCACTATTTCAGGTGCATCACTGAAGCATTTTCCCCCTTCCACTGTGAAAGCATCACAAAAGTAACTGTGTATTTGATGCTTGGAGTATTTAAGTAAAGCTATTATTATTAAAAGGCATTTTACTGCTCGCCTGTGCAAGATCTACCCTCCGATTTTTAGAGGCCTCAGCATGACGCGCGGGTGTCAGCGGGACTGGTGTGGAGGGACGAGCGCGCAGCTGCAGCGCGGGCACCGGGCGGCCCGCGAAGAGCTCTGCTGACCCAGGGCTCCTCCCTGCCCTCTGCAGCCCCGCCAACACTTCCCCCCGGAGCAGACATTTACTGTAAGGGCGCCAGCGCTCCCTCATGTGACCGAGGCCACAGGCGCGCCCGCTTGTTCTTTCCTCCGTTGTGCAACCCGTGGGGGGGCTGCGGCGGCCAGGCCCGGCGGGGCGGGAGGGGAGGG